CCTCGGAGCCCCAGCGGCCACGGCGCTAGTGGGACCCGCGCGGCAGCGGCCGGAGATGCAGCGGGGTGCCGCGCTGTGCCTGCGTCTGTGGCTCTGCCTCGGACTCCTCGACAGCGAGCGCGGTGAGCTCTCCGCCCGCCCGAGTGCGCGGCTGGCCGCGAGGGGGACGCTCTCTCGGGGCGAGTAGTGGGACCGCGCCGACGGGGTACGGGCGGGGGTCTGGGCACCTGCGAGCTTGGGGCACCAGGAGAGACGAGGCCCAGGGCCAGGGGTATGGACCCCGGACGGAACACAGTGGGTCGCGCCTGGGGCGCCCGGGAGGAGGAAAGGGCGGGCGGGGACTGCAGCCGGGTCAGGGACGGCGCTCTGGCCGCACCGCAGCGCAGGGATGGTGCTGGGTTCCCGACCTCGCTCTGTGGCCCAGTCCCCTTGGAGCCGGGCCTGGTCTCGCTGCGTTCTCATTCTGGATCCTTCGCTTCCTGACTCGCTTGCCGCCGGAGTCCCGGCCCTCCGACCCGCGCGCGCCGGGGATCGTCCCTGGGCGGCGAGGCGGCCGTCCCCGCCGGGCCGCAGACCTGGGTGCGCACTTCCCGAGGTCTCCGGTCTGGCGCTCGAAGTCGGTCCCCCAGAGGGCGCTCGGGGCGGGCGCCCACCTTCCCCAGGCCAAGGACTGCGGGGGCGGGGGTTCGGGACCGCTGGAGAAGGGCGCCGTCGGGAGGATTGCGCGCAGGTGCGTGTTGGAACTTGAGATGAATCTTGAGTTGGCAACTTGTGAGCGATCGGCAGGGCAGAAGAGGCAGGAGGCCGGCCCTCCCGGTACCTGGGAGTGCGGGGGTCTTGAAGGCCGAGTTAAGAAACCTGGACCATAAGGCGGGGGCCACTACGGAAGGGTCTTAAGCACTGGAGAAGCTGGATCTGGGTTTGGAGAGAAGGGAATGTGGGGGCCGAGGAGATGGCAGAAGGATATGGTTGGATGGAGATGTCAGGGGAAAAGCTTCAGGAGGGGAGCGGGGATGAACTGGAAGTCCACGCAAGAACTGGCGACCCTAGAACTCAGAGGATAAGAGAGAGGGCTATGCGTCCCCAGTGGTTGGAAGAGGAGTGCTGGGAGGTCTGAAGAGAGGGATGAGAACCTCCCTGTTTGGAACATTGCGGGCATTGAATATTGGCTTTTCATGCTTCATCTCTTTTAATCCTCGCAAGGGAGTGTGAGACCCATTTTTCAGATGGCAATGCTTAGACTAAGGACATAGGTAACTTGTGTAAGGTCCCAGGAGGCCAGTAGTAGTAAGAGAAGCAGTCAGCCCAGGTGTTTTGGATGACAGAGCCAGGTTCTCTGTGCCTTCATGGGCAAGGGGAGGTGTGGATGAACCTGGGGGAAGGTGAGAGGAGAGCATCTGTCTGGGCCTCAGTTTGGCCAGATCTGAACTGATCCTACTGCCCCTGGGCTCTTCTCATTTCCCTGCTCCCAGCCTAGGGCCAGGCTCTCACAGGTGCTTAGTATGTTTGTTGAGTGACTAATGAGTGTGGGAGACGTGAATGGGCCCTGGTTGGACTGTGAGACTGAGGGATGGGCGACCTTGCCTTGAGGAGACATCTGGCAGGCAGCTGGGTGTAGTGTCTTAGAGACAGATTGGGCTTGGGAGCTGCAGAAGGAGCAGAGCAAAGGGTCCAGGATTGGATGCCCCCTCCCCAGAGGGGCCAGAGAGGGAGAGGCCTCCAGGGAGATGGAAACATTCTTCATGGTGTAAGAACCAGGAGAGGCTGATGTCCTGGAGCTCAGCAGGTGGAAGAAGGAAGGTGGGTGAGGCCAGTCCTGATGTGAATGCAGGTGATTCTTACCGAAGTTGGACAGTGAAAGGGAGGAGACAGGATGTTATCTGAAGGGTCCATGGCGGGGGGTGGGGTTGGTGCTGGCTGGATCAGGGCTCAGCTGGTAGGAAGATGCCCACGGAGATGCCCATTGCTGCCTTCCCTGAGCCCTTCATTTGCCTCACCCGCTACTGGGCAAGGAAGACTCTGCAGCCTTATGAGGGATGCTCGAGCAGAAGCTCATACACTTCAGTTGAGTGTCAGCGCAGCCAGGGTGGGAGGCTAGGCGCTGGCAAATAGAAGCCTGGGACCTTGAAGCTAACCCTTCAAAGGCGTGCTCTTGGTCCTAGAACCAGACCCTTGTCCCAGCTCTCTCCCTAAGTTATTTACTGATGGCCTGTGCCCCCTCTCTTCCTCTCCCTGCACCTCAGTTTTCCTCTGCATAGCGGTGTGACAGGCTGGAAAGTACTGAGGGGCTGTGCTTGGGCTGAACTTCAAGGCTCGGTGCCTCAGCCCAGTTCCAAAAAGTCTTGCCTGGGCAACGTCCTTGTAGAGAGTGCAGGTGGCAGAGGTCAGCCCCAAGAGGCTTTGTCCCTTGGGCTTAGTCTAGAGAGACTGTTTGCGCCTCTGGGCAGTGGGCAGTCAGTTCAGGGACATGCAGGGGAAGCAGGCGACAGCTGGACAGCTGCACTGGCCTGGCCTGAGGACACTGGCCCCTGCTGTGGGCTAAGTGGCACATGGCCATCCAGCTCTTTGGTTTCCAGGCTCCTCAGGCCTGAGCCCATCCCAGGTGTGGGACAGAGGTATGGGGGAGGGACAGGGCTACAAGTTGGTACAAGAAGGATGTGGGGGCTGGGCTCACCATACTTGGTGCCTGTGGACCACTGGCCCCTGCTCAGTGCTCTCATGATGTCAGTGCAAATGTTGCTCATGCACCCGCCAGGCTGGAGGCACAGGGTCAGTGTGGCTGAGGGACTCTGCCTCCCCAGAGTATAGTGGGCATGAGGTATCTGGCCAGCTCCCAGCTGTGCCTTCCCCACCCTGCCCCCAGGCAGTCAAACCCCGACCCAGGGAAGGCTACTACAGTTCTGTGCAACTCACAAGCTACAGTGCTCAGTGTGGTCTGGGGGGATTTGGACCCGGCCTCATCCTGCAGGGATTTCCTGAGTGCCAGACTAGCAGGGACACAGACATGGCATCATCTATAGCCCAGAGACAAAAGTGGTCAGTGACCCCAGTGAGGCCCAGCTGGTGGCTGTGGCTACACAGGAAGTCATGGCACTTCCAGCTCGAGACTTCCTGGAGGGTCTGCAGACTCCAGGGCAGGGATTTCCAAGCAGGGCAAAGAATCCCTCGAAGGCCTAGAGGCAGGAAAGTCTAGATAGTGTATGGGGACAGATGGTGTATAGGGACATGTGGTGGCCAGGTGGGGCTAGAATCTGGGGTGGGGGTTAGATGAAGCAGGAGCCAACAGCACATCTGAAAAGAGGAGGTTCTGAGTAGGGTGTCACCTGGCCAGGCCCACGAAGACACCACCAGAGGCACAAGACCAGATGCAAGCCCACAGCAAGGAGGCTGTGGGTGAACCCAGAAAATGCACCAGGGAGTAGATGGTGGGGAGGGCCAGTCTCTGGCTTAAACAACAGAATAGGTCATGAGGTTGTTAACCAGATGGGGACCCTGGGAGGAAGAGCG